AAATAATACCGCCATTTATAAATAATAATAATAATGTATCGAGTACATTTTTCAAGGGAAAACTCTCAAGCACACGCAATGTCTTCGTAGCTAAAGATACTTAAGTAAAAGAATTAGAACCTGAGTGTTTTAGAAGGAGGAGCATTGAAATACTTATTAATGGATGGTGTTTGCAGAGTATGAAAAACTTCTAAAAACAAAGCTGAATACTAAAACACCAATGAAGCCATAAACTCACTAGCCATGTCTGTAATCACATACAGTTTCAAGATTATATATTCATCCATCTCTGAAATAATTAAAGTTGATGCCAAAATACGAAGGCGTCTCACAATGCAATACATGTACCACTCAAATCAGATATTGACATATGTATCTCCTCCAAAAAGATGGTTGGGGATGAATTCAAATGCGACTTTCAATAAAAACTGAAATTATGCATCTTTTTTTCCTTACTTGCAGCAAACAAACAACTGCATTTAAGGCTGGTTCTGAAACACGAGGCTATCAAAAATCTGCATTCTTTGACAAAATATCTACGGGAATTGAAGTTAAACGAACCAGAACCCCAACTGCGAAATAAGATAAAATAAAAAACAAACTGGTCGTAAAAAGACATTGAAAAAAATAGGAGAAAACATCTTTCACAAAACCTTCGATCCCCATCTAGATTAAAGTCTTACCAATCAGTGACTGACAGAAATGGAAGACTTCATAATTACTGCCCAGGATCAGTTCCTTCTAACCAGGAATTAGCAATGTTCTGAAAGTTAACAGAGGCTCATCCTACCGCGTACGTGGAAAATATCTAGAGATAATTACTCAACTACATGATAGGGCTACTCGGTACATAAATTGATCAATATGCTGAGCATTCAATCCCCCTCGCAAAGAGAACTGGTGGAAACATAAGCCACCATACGTTGTACTGGATGATGAGTTTACCATCCTCTTGAATTTCAGCGTTCAAATTGATAGGGAAATCTAGGCAAATCGATCAGACATTTTTAAGACATCATGTTCAAAAACAACTCTTCTACGAGATATTGCAGCACCACAAGACAAATAGTACATCTTTGTTAATAATAATAATAATAATAATAATAATAATAATAATAATAATAATAATAATTTAAAAAGCTTCATAATACAAGGATCTTGAAATGGAAATCTAAAAAAAAATGTGACACCTGAGGACATCAATAATTCCAGTTATATTTGAGCCCTCGGACTGATTAGAAAAGGTAGCGATAAACTCATTGAAAGGATTCCTGGTAGCCCATGCCTTAAAGAAATCCATAAAAAATGTACTCACAAGTATAGCTCACACATTACAAAGAGCTTTATCTATGTAAAATGTGTGAGATATTAAGGGTTTTTGTGGGGAGGTGTTTTTACAAAAATGACAGTGGAAAATGTAATGAAGATATTTCTGACTTTAGGTTTCTTTTTGGTACCCGGATGGAAATGTACAGCCAGCATAACTCAAAGGAAATAATAATAATAATAATAATAATAATAATAATAATAATAATAATAATGTGGATCCAAAATGCAGGTTCTAAGGATAAATACCAAGAAACAATAGACCATCTAATCTCAGGATGTTCTATTGCCCCAAATGAATATAAAATCGTCACGATAGAATTGGGGCAATACTTACCTGACAATGTGCCAAACACTTTGGAAAATGTAAAGCAAACACTGGTATGAACATGAACATCCCGGCCAGCCGGTTACAGAAATAGAGATGTCACCATTCTATGGGATTATACCATCCACAGACAGAAAATTGAAGCAAATAGGCCAGACATTATTGTCCAAAAACCAGAAAGAAAAAAATTTGCCTACTAATTGATATGGCTTGTCCGAAGGATTGTAACATAGCAACCAAGGAATTTGAAAAACTATCAAAATACAAAAGACTGGAAATTGAAATGAAAAAATGTGGAAATTGAAAAACAAGAATAATACCAGTGGTAATAGGGAAAAGTAATTGGAATTATAAAAAAATGGAACAAAACAACACATTGAAAGAATCCTGAAACCCCAGCTTAAAGAGACATACAGAAAATTGTCTTAGTAAGTACAGCACACACACTAAGGAGAACTTTGTCTATGTAACGCTAGCAACTTCATCGGAGATAAAAAAAAAAAAAAAAAAAAAATTAACATGAAATGTGGCCATAACAACACACCACGACCTGCCTTGGTCTTTCCGCAGACTTGGTGAGTAGTGTGTCCATAACAGAAATCGAATGATGATGATAATAAGTATAATAATAATAAATCGAAATCTCAAAAATATGGCACATGGGAACATCAACAATCCCCGTTGTAGTTGGAGTTCTCGGATTGGTTGGAAAATATTCCAGTAGACTAATTGAAGGTATCCCTGGAAGCCCATGCCTTAAAGAAATACAAAAAAATTGTTCTCACGAGTACAGCCCACACCTTACGAAGGGTTTTGTCTATGTAATTTTTTTTTTTTTTTTTTGCAATGGAAAATGTCATGATGCCATTTCTAACCATAGGTCCCTGGGCGGTACTCGGAAAGAAATGAGTACACATCAGAAATCAAAGGAAATATAATAATAATAATAATAATAATAATAGGATCAGTTACAGAAAAAGTTCTTCTGAGATCATAAAAATTAAATTAAAACAGAATTTATGTCTTTTAATCAATCATTCCAAAGTGAAAATGTCAATCAACTGGATGTTTCATTTATATCTGGAATCATGGTTAAACTCTACCCAGGCAAACATAAATCTCAGAATTGTAATGACGTGAGAAACTGTATCAAAATGAAAGTTCAAAATGATAAAAAAATGTTTGAAAGTTCAACTCTTTAAGCAAAAAGTAGAAACAGTCATCTTGTACGTATCAAGCAGGTGGATATTAACAAAATCACTAAGAAAGAAATAAACTAGTTGCAAGGACACTCAACTATTGAAGGAAGTCCTAAATGTCAGTTGGAAACATCTGCCAAATGAAGAACTTAAGACAAATGCAGAATTGAAATAGAATAAATAAATAAGACGTTGTGCCTTTTTTATTCTATGGCATTCAAATTATTGGAAAAGCAAGGACAATTATCAATCACCGGAAACAGAAAGGTAGAATTATAACAGACAGAAACGGTTGGAAAGAAAAAGAGTAAGGATTATTCGTTTGATTGACTGATTCACATTTACGACTAATCAACACTTTGCAGGTTATTTAAAGCCAGAAAATATGTTTAGATTATTACAATTTTTTAGAGATAACAACGATTTTACCACAAGTCTTACCCATAGCTGGGGCGAGAAGAATTGGATGAATACATTTCCGAAATGCATTTACGCGAAAATGAATATAACGAACCCAATGAGAATTGGAACGCTGCTCTCCGATTAACAATTCCGTGTCATTATTAATTACACCACCCGCACATCCAAGCTTACAGTACCTGGTATTTCAAAGCAGTTACAAATCTAGGTACTGACCAGGATCGACGTTGCTTAACTACGGTGGTCGTACAGAAACCGGTGTTTCAAGTATGCTAGAATATAAGGTCAGTATCTACGATTTGTTATCTATGAGAGTTTATCTTCCTCTCCCCCTTCTCTCTCCTTCATTCTATGCCTTTCATCATCTCTTTCAATTCTCATCCTTTTTTACTATGTAATAAATAGATTTTTCAACTCGTATCGATCTACCGTATTTGATGTCATTTTTCTATTCTTTTATTTTTTTTGTAATTACAAAGAAATTCATTGTGCAATGACGTTATACACCGGGACATAATTAAAGTTTCAGTGACATTCAATAAGGCATCCTAAAATTAGTATTTACTGGGTATGACGATAAACTATATCCTGCAGCAAGGCCTCTGATCGGTAGGTTTTGAGGAGCGTGGAACCATCTCTTAATTGCTGGTGTTCCCAGGTCCTCCCTAACCCAGGGTGGTAGCATCTGTCAGGGTCCCAGCTAAGGGGAAAAAGTGAATCTCCAAACTGGGATCAAAACAGTATGGAAGAATAGAAATAGATTTTTATAGTGAAAATACCAGCAATACATGTATAAAAAAATATTACCATCAATAGATTTGACTCAAAATATTACCACCAATAGATTTGACTCAAAATATTACCACCAATAGATTTGACTCAAAAATACGTCAATCAAACCTGATCTGCAAACTGATTTCTTACAAAGAAGGCATTCTATTCATACGAACTTAAAATTATCTGTCTATATTTCTGAGATGAGGTATTATGTACATTGTTACATCATTCGGACTATTGTCCTCTCAAATTTGTTACATAAAATCACAACGTCGGCACATGGCAAAGTGGATACATAAAACTGGTTAGATGCACGAGTAAAACACAAAAAGTGTGAGGTCAATACCTGGTTGCAGTGGAGAACTTGGAGAGTGGAATTAACAGGAAAACTGATAACTGACATCTGTTAAACATGGTACGTTAAACTAGAAACGGTCTACCCCAGTGAGTGAAAATAAAGGTTCAGTTCGACATTTCTAACCACCCTGAAGAAGGCTGGAGCCTACAACGACCGAAACGTTATAATAAATATGGCGACAAAAAATGAGGACAATAGTCCGAATAATGTAAATAGTGTACATAATACCTCATCTCAGAAATATAGACAAATATTAAAATTAGTTTCCCTTAAATTTCCCTGTGACAAATAAGGGTACCCCTAAAAAGCCCCTGGATCAAATACAATTACTAATTCGTAACCATTTCGAATATAAATCTATATGCCTTGGGGTTCCACCGAGGATCGAACTTATTTCTGCAAATAAACGAAGAAAATATTTACCTATCCTAGTCTAGACTGTCTCAAAATCTCATCAGTAGCGCCTTTAGTGAGGATCGAACTCACTAACCATGGCTTATAAGGCTAAATTCTTAACTGTCTCTATACAGCGGACACCCGACAACACGTTTGTGTGAGATGTAAATTTTTCAGCCTTGACGAAATGTTTGAATTAATCAAAGAAAGCAAAATAAATAAAACACGTCAGCCAAGGAAATCTGTCTTCGATGTCTATTTCGGTGCAGTGGAAGCGACTCAAAAAGTGCGTGCATCTACCTTTGGGTCGTCCAAAAAAAAAAAAAAGAGTTGCTGTGGATAATTTCGGCCAGATCTTTTGCTCACGGCAAAATTCGGGTTGCGGAGTTGGTCTGGAGCCGGGAGAAACAAAGAAAGAAAGAAAGAAAGAAAGAAAGAAAGAAACCCTTTAGAAAGAAAAAAAAACGTGAAAATAAACGCCAAGTTTACACAATGACAGTCTCATGAGAATAGCTCATGGTTTAGACTTTTACTAATATGTTTGAGGAAGGAAGGACGGAAAGAAAAATGACCGGACGTACGAAGAAAAGGAAGAACTTGTATGGATGAACGATTTTGTAAAAGGTGCAGTTTATTTCTATTGTTTTGCAATAATGTAAATATGTAACCAGAAAATTTCCATACTTTCAATTTCATTAACAAAAAAATTTTGTTTTAAATATGCCAAAAAAAAAAAAAATTAAAAAAAAAAAAAAAATTTTTGTTCTCTCTCTCTCTCTCTCTCTCCTCTCTCTTTCATCCGGATATCTGCTTTTTCCAGCAAAAGCCAGACTAATTTAGTCATGGGAGGGGTTTTATCAAATTTCCTCACTCGTGCTTTAGTTTGGCCCTCAGTGAAACATTGGACCAGGCAAAAAAACATCGAAATGGTCAGAAATATCCTCGTTCAGATGGTTCAGTTGAACATCAGTTTCTCCTTGTTAGTGAAGGGCAGTAAAAGTAGGAAAATGTGGGAGAGAGAAAAAGTGGATCTAAATATCATAGATGAGTGCATAGCTTTCTTTAGTTCTACACAAGGTCACATTTGTTGAGCACTTAATAAAATTCTAACACTTTTGTTACGGTTTGGTATCAATTAGGGTTTTCTCTCTATCACTCTCACTCTGTCTCCATCTATCTATCTATCTCTCTTTTTTATACACTCCGTCTTAGCTCTTCAGAAAAGATGATAAATAAATGATTTAATAGAGTGAATTTTACAAGTAATATGGAGCGCTAAAATAAACAACTATCTGTGCGAAAGTTGCCGGTTTTAAGTAGAAAACGAGAATTAAAAAAAATTCAATTTTATTTGAATTTCTGACTTTTAGCGGCATTGTGAAATTGCTGAATTATTTGATTAAGTGCCAAAAGATATTTTATTGCGCATGGAAAGTACAAATTTATGTTTAAAAATGGAGCACTGTCCGTTTTGCGTCGATTAGGCAGCGCCTTTTGTATTTAAAATTTTCGCCTTAAATAATAATCAATGTGTTGATAAATTGATGAATATCAGTGAGATTTATCCAGATTGTCGATACATACATCTGTGTATGAACTGTGTGTACATACCTATAAACCTAGATACAACCATTTTTAGATAGATAGATAGATGATTTTTGTTCCTCGTTAAACAAGTCATGTTTTTCACTAGAGTCATATTGCAATATTTTTTACTACCCTGAGAATGACAATATTACTGGTTCCCATATTGTACTTCATTTCTATTGTAGCCGGCTCTCAAACTAAGTTTTTTTGAGTGGAACTCCTTTCAGTCAGCTTGCCAGTGGATTTTCAGGTAACAGTTCGACAGGATCCAGTTTCCTGAAGGTTTCTGAGCTCACCCTGCTTATTAAGTTTATTAGTTTGTTCCTGACAAAGATGAGGACAATTGGCGAATAGTAAATGAATATAACTCATCTCAGTGTGTTTTAACTATAGCAAATAATCTATAGTGAGACATATTCTGCAACATGCATCACATGTAAATTGATAGCTTTCTCTTTTCTTAATTAGGTTTTTAGAAAATTTCGATCATGTTTTGAGATTTTGTGTTTTCATCAATTGTACGCCTCCACTTATATCGATCACAAACAGGGGTTTCTCACTCAGGCCTATGAGTATCAGATATTCCAAGCCTTCTTCACTCATTACCCAAGAAATTTCAACCGCCTCTTCCTGGTGTTAAAGTATAAGTTACATTTTTGTTTCCATTAGAACGCATTGCTGGAGGAGAAGAGATGGTTTCACAAAGGGCAGTTGCGCGTATATAAATAGATATGTGACACTGGTGGAATTGAAGTGGTTAATGTAAAAATGTGAGTTAGTAATATGAGAGGAGGGAAGAGAGAATATAGATAGACTGGTGGACAGAAGGAAATCATTAATGTATATTCCGGGTTATTCGCTAACCGTTGATACTAAAAACAGAATTGAAAAAAGTTAAGTTATGGCCATCGACAAAAATGGTATTTAAAGAGCCATCTGAAATATAATTGTGGAAATATAAACAACTCGGGAAACGAAACTTAAGCTTTCACCCGAAAGGGAAATTTAAATGAGAAACAATCTGTAATGGTTGTCTGCATGATAGCCTGAGGGTTGTGGGAAGAGGATGGCTGGTTGGGGTGCACTAGAACAAACCAGACCAAAGACTGGGAAATAATATTTTCTATGGAAAATCAATGATTAAAATAAGATCGCCCCTTCCTCCACTTGGTTTAAAATTTAGGACTGTCAAAAAGACAGTCAAAACATCCATGTGGAAATAGTCTCAGCAGAAATATCGAGAGAGGAGGAGAAAAGAAGGAAATTTACCTCTGACCATTTGGACGTAATAGCAGGAAGAATAAATAAGAGAAAGTATGAGTTATAAAGGCGGCACGATAGCTGCAACTGAATCCAAAAGTTGAGGGATTACCGAAACTCCAGGCCACTCGAACCCCCGCCTATCTTAGGCCAGACTCTATGCAAGCAGATCACGTAGGGGATAGACGAGAGGAGCGCCGAAGGGCGGACGAGCTGCTGCTAAAACCCTGAGTGACCTGTTGCCGGGAGAATTCACGATTTTCAACCACGTTCTAAGATTTTAAAGAGCAAAGAATCACTATAGAAATTTAAGAGGGAAGGGTTGATTTTTCTACCAGGAACTACATAAACCGATTTAAAACTATGTCGATGAATTTTCCATTTTTATTTCGTCTGGGAGAACATTTTTATTTTTTCATAATACAGGTTCGCCTTGGTTCGAGCCAGCACTCCAAATTACCGACGACATTTGAGCTTCACTTCTCTGAGATCAAAGAACACGGCATGGGCAGATTGGTGTGGATCGAAACGGCCAGCGACCAACAACCAGTTGACCGACGACGCTATTGGCCAGCGTAGAGTTGACCCTGTGATTGACTCGTTGTCCTACAAACCGCATGTGTTGTTACATCTTCTGGTATAGGCAGCGTGTGGCAGTGACCATACTATCTGGTTGCTGTAACCCTGGTTGAACCCGGATCGACTAGGGAGTGCATGTTATAATTAGTGCCGTGACCAGGATCGAACCAGGGAAAGCCAACAGAAACTTTAAATATAGAACCAAGAGCACATAACAGCGCAACCAAGCCGAGAAGTGAAAGAGTAAAAATCAATTCGCTGAATCAGTAGAACTAACGGACTTTAGTCATTTTGACTATAAAGTTCTAAAAACTCCACGAACGTTTTTATCAATTTGCAACGGCCACAAGGCAACTGACAGGTAGAACACTTCTTGGTTTCCCTGAGAAGTAGTGAAACGCGTTTTCAAGGTCGGGAAGGTTTAGGCAGCAGGAAGAATAGGTTTGGAATCTGAAACCCCCAGATAAGGAAGATGAAATACCTCTGTCGCAACTCCAGAAACTCTTAAGAGAGTTATTCCTGAAACTTGAACGAACCAGGCGATATAAACTAAGGAACTGCCCAAGATGAACTGTTGTTTCTAAAATAGAATTGCGATAAAGCTAAGACGTTATTTAATTAGGAAAGCCTTTGGTTGTTCTATGAATAAGGTTATAGACAATTATCATGAGAAATATTTTTTTATGAATACTTATTTTTTTGCCAGGAACTGTGTTCATCTCTTTGAAATTAAATTGGATAATTAATGTGTTTTTAAATCTTTAAAATTCTGTGTTGATTTGTGTTGGTTGGGTGGAATCTATATTTGCTAATCGTAAATGGAAGGGCTTCGTGCAGTTCAGCAGACATCGGTATTTAGAGTAAAAATAAACAAATCAACAACCTTAATACTTGGTCGTTTGAGATTTTGTGGAAATTTATGAGGTGATAGATAGGCCGTGTATTTTTTTTTTTTTTTTTTTTTGTCAGTTGATTGTTAGATAGATCTTAACATAATGTCACTGGTAAGATCGATTTTGTTTTTATTTATGTAGAAGGTTGCTAACACTGGGAATACCATAGGTAATTCATACTTGTAGCGTCTTATGCGAAAAAGAATTGGTAATTAAGAAAAATTACGGGAACATATCTGGTAATCGTGGCTTATTACTAGTGAAATGAATTTGTCTATGCTCTGCTGAATGAACCATGAAATGTATTCAGTGACAGTGGATAACGCAGACGATTTAGTGTACACAAAGAAAAGAAGATTGTCTGGGATCATACTGATAGTTAACGATGCTAGTTGAAACAAAAATTACGGAAGATGGAATGGATGAATTCGATGTCGGTAACTCATCATGGGAAAGGGCACACTTGGGTGTGTGGCGGCGTCGTGTTCATAACAATGACCTATACCATGAAATAACAAAAGAACATGAGTAGAGAGTACAGAGGTGAGAACAGCGGGTTAGGGAGGATGGATAAACTTACCTGTCTGCTCTGTGCTCAGTCTGCAGAAACAGGAAACTCGAGTCCAGAATAAAAGTAGTTTCTTTAAGCCAAAAGCAAAAAAACAATAATAATAATAAGGAACTCGAGGAAATAAACTTTAATTTTCTTTTTTGTTTGTTTCTTTTTAAGATTTTCTAATATTTCAGTGCAGTTATTTATCAATATTTAACTAGTATGACACAAGGCCAATTAACGCCAGGAAAATTGAGCTGCATTCTTTCTTAAAATGCTAAATGCAACCGTAAATTCTATTCTAAAAGTACCTTCTCTTGCACTGTAAAACTCTCTGTAAGCTTCTCGCTTTCCTGAAAATTACAGTATCTATCTATATTTCTGAGATGAGGTATTATGTACACTATTTACATTATTCGGACTATTGTCCTCATCTTTGTTGCCATATTTTTAGACTAGAACAGTCTACCCCAGTGAGCGAAATAAAGGGTTCAGTTCGATATTCCAACCAGCTGAAGAAGGCCGAAACGTTGTAATAAATATAGCGACAAAGATGAGGACAATATTCCGAATAATGTAAATAGTGTACATAATACCTCATCTCAGAAATATAGACAGATACTGAAAAGCCGAAATGTTGTAATAAATATGGCGACAAAGAATAATGTAAATAGTGCTGAAAATTACACTCTAAAAAACTTTACATACAACATCAATTATCATTTTCTGTCTCCTTGAAGCGTATTCATTTTTTTCTCTTCTTTCTCCTCAGTAACATTTTCTGTTTCCTTCTTTTTATTGTTTTTCATCCTTACTAACACTTTTGGTCATAGTGGCTTTGTCGCCTTTCTTGGTGTAAAATGATTAAAACTTATTGGAATAACTTGAAGGCCATTATTCAAATCTCAACAATAAATTAGACAGATAAGCTAAACATATTAACCTGAAATAAGACCACGCACATCAAAGTCACTATATTATGATTCAGTACATTATGAATGGATTTGCAAGACAACTTCCCTAATCATCGCACTACTGTAGGTGCTACTTTACACGTAATAAGTTAATCTGGCACAAGGTCATACCAATTGAGCATTTTATGAGAATGTATATATCTGTTCGTTCCCGTGGGCCTGTATGTACAGACATGTGTATCTAAGTGATCATTTAAATAAAACATGGATCAGACAAGAGGCACCTTTTATCAATTTACTTATAACCTAAAACAGAACCAAAACAACATTGGATAGAGTAAGATTTCAGCTGGAGAACACCATTTTTCTAACGATGAAATCGAGCCTGCATGCTACTCATTAAGCAACTAGTGAAACGCATTAATGACCAACTTACTGTGCTCACATCCACTTTTTCGTCTCCTTAAACATTCAGCAAGTATAAATAGGTAATTTTCCGCTTGAAGGTAGTCAATGATACATATTTACTTCATAGGCACTTTCAAAACAGACATTTTAAAACTAAAATCATGGTAAAAATAATTAGGTGTTATTGACGGGATATTCCAAACTCTATACCACCAATAAATACCTCTGATATAAAGAAAAAACCGGGAAAATCTCGTATTATATCCTATAATAAAAATAGGAAGCCTTTTTTCTGGAAAAATCTCGTATCTATCGTTCAATATAAAACTATATTATTACTAAAAAATTTAAGAAACTGTCAAAACTTTCTCAGTGACAATCATCAATTATTGTTTGTTTATCAATTTCACTGACCATCTTTTTTTTTCTCGAAAAATTGAAATTGTCTTTTGTAACAAACTAGCACATTGCTTATGGCTACAATGTTTGTTCTTTTGCTTTTGTTGTTTTTTTGCTTTTGTTGTTTGAGTAATTGAGAGTTTTGAAAGTATGTCTGACTATGCATCAATAGAGAAATAAAACACTGTCTGGAAAAATTAAATAATATGTCTAGACTGGTTTAAGGAGATTAAATACTAAATGAAAGTTCCGTGTGGATATGTGTACACACGTATACACTGAGGGGAAAACAAAAGTGCAAGACCCGGAAAGACGATGCTAGGTTTGACCTGGCTATTGTATGTTCATTCATAAATTGATAATTGATAAAATTTTCAAAAGTCTCTTCATGGTAGGAGTTTAAGATTGCTTGTAATTTCAATTTCCTTCTGATTGTGATGTTGAAACTTACTGCAGTCTACAAAGCTGCGTTGTCTTACACAATTCCTTTACAATGTCTTGTCTCTCTTTTCAGATTTTTTTTTTTTTTTTTGCATATATACAGTATTTTAAACAAAATCAACAACTATACTATTATAAAAGTTTATTTACAATATAATATAGCATCCCTTTCGTTGTAAATTAGAATCTTAAATCAAAACATACGTTATTATAAATAATTAGAATTAAAACAGATTTTATAAAATGAAAACCTCATGGTACAGAAATCAAAATAAATTTGGAATTTTTTACATAAATATGTTGGTCAATACTAATTCTATTGTTGAGATTTTGACTTAGCTAACAAACACACACACACATATCTATCTGTCTATCTATCTATCTATCTATATATATATATATATATATATATATATATATATATA